CAAACATAGTGATATGTATCCAATACTGTGGAGTTCATATATATTTTAAATTCACATACACAGTGTAATTGCCTTACCATTTTAAGCATGGAAGGCTGTCAGCAGCTGGAGTTTGTGAAAATACACAATGCAAGAGAAATGGTCTTGCCTTCAAATTTCAAAGATTTTAGTTTATAAACATATTTCTCAGGATTTCCAAACAATAGATAAATACTTGAATAGTCATTTTCTCCTCTAGGGATTTTGGTACATTTTTTAAAAAATAACAAATCCAGCAAAATAAAACAAACAAAAAAAAGAAGCTGTAAGGCATTAACTTGGAGACTAAAGGCTTTAAAGTTAGCACTTGGAGCACATTTGAAAGATGTGGTTTGACACGATGAACTTTTGGGTGTAGGCCATACACACAGATGGCTGTCCTTTTACAGATGTTGGGAGACTCTGTCCCTGTTGTTTACCACAGTCTCCAACACTAATGTTTAATAAGTTTCTTACCTCCTACTTGAAAGATCAGGAGAAAGGAGGCAATCTGCTGCTTTGTAAAGACTCAGAAATATCAGGGCAACTTACTTTCAACTGATCTTAGTGCTCAGTGGTATATATTACACATGTAATTTTATCTATATATACAGATTTTTATATGTGTAGTATCTGAATGGTCTGTATATAATATATCCTTTCCCTTATTTAGGACTCAGTAGACCTACAGCTGTCTTACTTTTAAATGAACATAAACATATTTTAAATCTTTTTTTTCAAAATGAAGGAATTTCAAAGTCACATTGCCTGCATTTTCTGTGGATCAAGAGCACATATACAGATAGCCACTGCAATTCAGGCAGTAACTTGTTAGATTGTCGTAACTTGAGGGTATGTCTGAGCCCTTAATTCTTGTCAAATTAGAGTTGATACCACTGAGTTTAGCCACTCTATGTAAAGGTAGTGGGCAAACAGTTTTTATAATAGGTAAATACTCCTTTCGTCTCTCAAGGGGAATACCCATATTTCAAGAATTAACTTTTTAACTTTTGCATCTTATTTTCAGTCCTGATTGTAACAGATGGCACTCTGTCCAATGTTACCATATTATCACTTTCCTAAGTGCAGTTTGGATTAGCTTTTTTTTTTTTTTTTAATAAACCCTCTTTGGGTTAGTGTTGACTTTAGGTGTTAAGAAAGAAACCCAAACATATTATTCCACATTTTATCCTCCCCAACTTTAGTAATTATAATATTACTGTTTCTTGTATCCATAGAAGAAACATATAATGTTGCAAGTTCTGTTTTCACATAGATGATCTACCACAAAAAGGTTTCTTTTAGGCTTGCTGATTCCAGTAGTGACTGTAACTAATCATAGTTCTGAAAAAAAAGTCTGATAAAATAAATATGAAATAAGTGATAAAAGAAGTCTTTACATTTTGCCCTGTCTCTTGTTGTTTGGTATAATAGGCTGAAAATTCAACTGTTCTGTTTATTGGCAGAAGTTACAGTGATACAGCTGGGACTCATGTGTTCTGTATTAGCTGAGTTACTGCTATTTAACCATTTGGATTAAGAGAAACTTTAGTTGCTTTTAAGAACCACATCTTTGCATATACTGCCATTGCAATGTAATATTGGTTAATTAAGGGGAAAACGTGTATTCAGACTTACTGCTCAAAATTATGCAGAAGACAGCTTGATATTTTGGGTCATTCTTCTTCAGCACTATCACATTTCCAGAATATGTTGGAACATATGTATAATATGTACGTGCTTTCCAGAATCATAAAACAGTGTCCACCTCCTCCCTCCTTTCCGAATGCATCGCATCCAATTCACAAAGTGTTTAATTGCATATTTAAATTTAATCATGTAATCATTTAATAGATGTAAGTACAAGGTTAAATTTAAAATGCAGCTCCTTGCTGTACTGAAGTGGGACCATTAAGTCTGTGAAAAGAAAGATAGAGTTTATGAAAATGCAAACATGTCTGAGTAACACTAAAAGCAGAGTTCAGCAATGCCCAACGGGCCACTTCTACAACAGCAATTCACTTTTGAAATGTTGGTCTCTGCAGGGAAGATCACTATCATTATAATTAGAGCTAGACTACAATGGACTGCTCACAGTAGCTATTCCAAAAAGTTCTTTGAAGGTGAAGATGAGTGGTAGGCATTCTCAGGAAGAGAAAATTGCTTGCTCAAGTAAAAAGGAAAAAAATCAACCAAATTAAACAAATCTTAAATAACTAGATGGCTAAAATAAATTTAAAATTTAGCCATCCCTATTTAAAATATAATCACTGTATTTCCAGCTTGGATATTGCTGGTGGGCATTACAGAAATATATAAATAATAAGAATAGGTAATATGTAATTATACTTGAAAATAGATACATATTGTGAACAAATGAAGAGAGACAAAAATATAGCAGCTTCACCTCCAGTACTCATGTTCTGGTTTTGCTTTCAAAACTGACAGTTCTTTTTTCTGGAAATTATGAGGGCCTAATTACTAAGAACTGTTTAGCCCTCTTAGGTACATTGATACAAATAGGTATATTGGTATGAAAAATATTTGAAGATGTTCTGATCAGTTTTTTTAATTGTCTGGTTTTTAAATACTTGTCCAGGCTGTCTAAAGATTCAATCAGGCAGTTGGCTAAAATTGAAAACCTGATAACAAAAGCACAGTCCTTGATCTTCACACCAAAGCCAGCACACATTGCTCTATTGAAAGGTTTTTATATAGATTTACTGCTTTTCACAGATATCCCTAGACTTTGCATACCATGTAGAAGTTGCTGCAGTCTGCTAAAACTATAAACTTCAAACTACAGCTGCAAGAATCCTACAAACAGAGGGGAATCTCTGTGGAAGATTGAGGTGCTCCTGCCAAGAGCATTCAAGTTATGACAAAAAGATTATGACACTGGTTGCTTTTTCTTTAAAATTAACAGTGAAGATCTGGAAAACAGGTCGTAGAACTTAGCTCTGTGAGTAAATAGGAATTATAGAAGTACATGAAGAAAAAGGTAGGTAAAATAATTATGAGAGGAGAAGTACCTGTGCCAGCGATAGTCAGTCTCACAATTATAAAAGTGTGTCCTGATGTTCAGAGGGAGCCTCCTGTGTTTCAGTTTGTGCTCATTGCCTCTGGTCTGCTGAGAAGAGTCTAGCTCTATCCTCTTTGCACATTCCCTTCAAGCATTTATACAAATTGATGAGGTTCCCCTGAGTCTTCAGTTATCCAGCCTGAGCTGTCCCAGCTCTCTCAAACTTTGATCACAGGAGAGAGAGGCTTCAGTTCCTCAGTCATGTGTGGTCCTCCATTGCACTTTCTCCAGTTGCTCCACTCTGTCCAATTTGGCAAGTTAAAAGGATATAAAAAATATCTGCTATAAATTTGTTCTTCACACTTTTGATGTGACAGTGGAACATAATAGTACATATCACAGGTGTTTGGAAATATTCAAGTGGATGTAAATGCAATAACACTTGTTTCTCTCCATGTTGAAATCAGGAATTTATCAGCTAAACATTCTTCTGTATAACAGCCTTGATCTGACTTCTCCACTTTTTTTTATATTGCCCCAGGTACCAGCAACTATATGATACTATAAGCCACAGAAACTGTTTTTATTCAATATGTTTGGGGGGGGGGGGGGGTTCAGTTTCTGGATTCTTTATTTCTTAGAAGTTAACATTTTCTTTGGAGCTCAGTGATCTAAAGACTACTATTAGATTAGTTAGAGTGAAGTCGATTTTCAAAATGCCTAGCTTTTGTCAATCTAAGCATTATAATGAAGCAGCATGGTATTGCAAATGCTTTGGTGCTGATGTTTGATGTGTGTAGAGGAAATACCATAATTATTTCAGAAAATTATTCCTGAGTAATAAAATTCCACTGATTGCACTAAGCAAGCTAGTAAGTTCTCTCCTGTTATTATTAAATTGCAGTCAAGATATCAAACAATTGTATGTTTGTACAATTTGATTAGAGGTTTTAATATACTCTGGCAGACATTTATATCACAATTTAAACTTGCGACTGCACGGACCATTTTTTAGAAAATTATAGTCTTTAGGTTTTAACCAAATGTCTTCTGCGGTAAATAGGCACATTTAACTTACTCTTTTAAGTCAGTAAAATGTAGTTTGTGGTTTCTTAAAAATTTGCTGTCAGAATACTCAATGTTTTATTGCTTTTTCTCATATTATTGACTTTATGTGAACTTCAAAGTAGATTGAAATAGATGGGCTATCAAAATTCATAAGTCATTTAAAAAGAATTTAATTTTAAAATACTACTCATAATTTAAGATAGTTTCAGTAGTGGTAGTTGAAGTTTTGATCCTTTTAGAATGAATATTTTTCACTTTCCACCTAAAGGTAATGTTTGTCAAAGCTAGAAACATTGCTTAAGTCCTTACTGAAGTCAATGTGTTGAATGTTGACAAGAGGTATTATCTAGTGTTAAAAAAATATCACTGAAGAAAAAAAACTTAGCAGAGTTGAAATCCTAGGTTTGATCCTGTAAATGACCATGGTGTCAACCAAGCAGAATGTTAACTTTGATAGCATTTGAATTTCTGTGGGTGTCTCAGTTCCCAGAAAGTTTCTTTAAGGGAAGTTCATGTATTTGTGACTCCCTCTAGTGGATCTCTTTCTCAACTCTACACTAGGAAATGTTCTCCATATTAAATTCATGTTACATTAAATATTCAAACGTCCTTGGTTTTGTGGTGTGGATCTGATTCCATTCTCATGGACAGTCTGAATGTGTTTATGTTTACCTCCACTCATTACCACATATTTTGCAATATATTTTTAAAATATTTTTTCATAATTTGATTGCTGATAATTGTATTCATTTATATGTGCAGCTAATGATGATACATTAGCAGATGGTTTTTCTGTGCTACAAATCTCTTCTATTTCTCAGACTTTCATTTACATGACTATATTCCTGAAATGTTTGCAGTTCACCTTGATTGCTATTTAATTATATTTCAGGTACTACCAGGGTAAATCTTGTGAAGATCCCTTCAACTGCTTCCAGTCCCCGAGACACTGCTCTGGCAGCTGTTATATGCAGTGCACTTGCAACAGTGCTCTTGGCTCTCCTCATTCTTTGCGTTATCTATTGTAAGAGGCAGTTTATGGAGAAGAAACCAAGCTGTGAGTTTCCAGTTATTACTGTTCTTTATAATATTTATATAGTGGTGTTAGTTTGGCAGATCTCTCTGTAGGTAAATAAATGAAATGTCTGCATCATTCAAGCAAGTTTAGCATTGAGATGATCAAGGTAGCAGAAGCCTAAGACTCCATCCAAGTTTGCCAGCTCAGTGTGGATGTTCCAGCTTCTACTGATAAAATACTGTGTAGATACCCAGAAATAGTCTAATTGCATCAATTCTGTGCCACACTCTGCTAGATGCTGCACAGGATCTATGCATCACATACTATTGTGAAACACAGATTAGGTCATCGAGATAATGGATGTGGCCAGTGTAGATGAGAGATTTGTCACTAACAGTTTGGGTTTTATGGGCATATTCAAGATGAATTAAATGCCTAAGACAGTTAAATTAGTATATTTTTTTAAACCCATAATAGCTCATCAATGTAATTTGTTTTTAATACACATTTTTCTGCCGCTTACTTTTAAATTAAGAAAAAGTCAAAAGCACTCTAGTTCCCCTTTATAATTTAAAAAACCTTGTATTAAAATATGTTTATAGCATCTAATGAGCCCTGAATGCCAACCAAGGATATTATCTAGGAAGGATTGCTGTTATCACTGCTTACAGCACAAGCAAAAATAAAAAGATCAAGAGAGGTATTTGTAAGAATTGTTCCTAACCTAGAAGATGCTTTAGAGTTTTGTGAAATTCAGACATAGTGAATTCAAACTTCAGTTAGTGAAGTGTAGTAACTCGTTTGCCTTGGCCTACAATTATAGTGATTAAAGGAAGTCTGCTGTTAATATAAAGCTCTTTAAGATAACATAAACAAAATCTCAGTAGCTGAAAGCTGAGTGTGGAAAGTTTCAGATGGGAATCACTGAGAATCATTAAGCACTGAAAAACTGTAACACTGAATAAGATATACTCTCAAATCATCAAAATGAGAGCGGATGTCTTCCTAGAAGAGGCTGTAGTTGAACCAGCTGTTCTAGGGTTTGTTGCAAGATCTGTGGCTTGTGCTATATGAAACCACATGATCATTGTGGATCTTTCTGTTGGAAAATGTATAGACATACTTTACAGCATGACATTTAAGCATTCTATGAAGATAGAAGGATCTGAGCAGGAAGAAAGATAACACTTACTGATATGGATTTTTATTCGCTTTGTTCAAAGGGTCTCTGAGATCACAAGACATTCACTACAATGGCTCTGAATTATCATGTTTTGATAGACCACGACTAAATGAATATGACCACAGAACATGTTGCCAGTGCCAAAGAAGCACATCACAGACATGTGGTATGTTAGGTCTACTAAAAGGTGACTTTATTTATCTAATACTTGAGTTGTGACATTAACTACAGAGTCAAACTACCCTTTGTCCTAGGCTAATTTCCCAATAAGCAGATAGGATTTTTAAATAGCTATTTGGGGTTTTTTTCTTGTTGTTTTTTCCTGGTTTCATTCCAGTGACTTCACTTAAAAAAAATCTTTAAATACCTACATCATTTCTTTCTGATAAAAATAGCACTGCATCTGGCTTTGAGACTTAAATTAATATGAAGGATTTACCAGCCAGTATCTAAGAATGTGATATGAATGTTAAAGACATTAACAACCTCAACAATTAAAGTCATTGTCATTTTGTGAAGTCGTATCAAAACAGATGCAATTGTGACATTAAGAAATACATAAAGTAACAGAAGAGCACAGGCTTAAATATCATCCTAATAGGTTAACTCAGAATGCTTCCTCTCAAGTGTATTCAGTTGAAAAGCAAATTAATTAAAAAATTAGGTATTCATGACTGGCATCTGTATTACTCCTGAAGGAAGGACAGGGCTTTCTTTTATAAGTAATTCAATTTTAAAGGAATAGAGAACCCATTCCTTGCAGTAAGAAATCTTTCCTCAATCCATGTATTATAATGTAACTGGCAAACTAATGCTCCAGTTTGAAAGAGAACAGAGACTAAGTTTATACAGAGCTTTAACAGTTTTAACATTTTCATTCCTTAGGACCAGTTCACTTGATTCCATCCCTATGCTGTGATGAAACCTGTAGCATGGGTCATAGCTGTGCTTTCCACTCACAGACAACACTTAATGAAAGGTAACTTAGTTTTACAAATGTCTGTTAAACATTAAGTATTGTTTTATGCAGTCAAATTAATATTTATACAGATACAATGGCTGTTTGAAGTGGAATGAGGGATTTTGATGAACTGTAGCCATATCACCCCGTGTTGTGCAAGAACAGGTTTATGGTGAAAACTTTAAGTATTACTTTGCAAATGCTGACTTGATACATGGGTTTCTGCAAAGAAGTGACTTCTCTCATGAGCACATAGTCTTCCTTTTACTCTCTGGCACCTTAGAGGCTTTGGTGACCCTTTCTTCTGCTATTGATTAGCAAGCTGCTGCATAGACTCATGAATCTGGTGGTATTGACAATTCAGAAGTGTCATAAAGATTTATTTTTTTTTTAATTTAGGAACTCTTTAGACTTTCACATTTGAAATATCTATTATTTCTGAATTTCTAGCAGATTATAATTTTCTCCTGATCTGCTGAATATAAATACAGTAGTAGAGTAGTTATTTCTACAGCAGTACCGTGAGCTAAATACATAAAATTTATGGCGTCCTTCAGAGTTTCCTTCCTTTCAGAGTTACAGATTTTAACACAGGATGTATTTATTTCTTTTAGCTAGAATAATTTTCCATATAGGGTTAAATTGGTCTTCAGCTGTTTTGTTCTAATGGCCACATGTAACTGAAAATGTAGAGGCAGCTTCTTCATAAGTATTGTTTATGTAAGGTGACCTAGTGACCTAAGATACAAAATATCTAAATTTTCTATACCAATTTGTTTAAATACTGACAAGCTTGAGTCATCCTTGTATACCATCAAGGCTGACAAATTGATAGGCTTGTACACAAAGTTGTGTACTTTTTGAGGAATCTTTTGGTTAAGGCTTTAAAAATAACTAATATCCATGTAATTTGGACATCAAAGATCCTGTGGTTCCTTCCAGTAGAAATGGAGTTTATGCCAATTTCCTTTGCCAGAATAATGTATTTCCTTCAATTGTGGGGCAGTGTCCTGACTTTTGGCCTCCTTTCTGAAAATACTTTGTGTGCATAATAAAGCTATTAAAGCATCATGTTTTGGAAATGAGTAAGGCTACTTAAAATCTGTTATAGGCATGTTAATGTGGGATGAGTTTTGTCACACAAATTATTACTGCATATCAGTCTTAATATAGCCTTTACATTTTTATAAATCTGTTGACAGTTTTTGGAAATAAAACATGTATAACTTTTTGGTTTTGGTAATACTTCTTTTGGTGTACATATAATGAAAAACACTACTGGACTTTCAACAGAGTTTGGCAGATGTCAGTATTATCATGCACTTTAAATACACTTGAGGTAGATAATATTGAGTTTCTACTTGCACTTTCTTCAATTTTCCATAAAATAAAAATAATGTTTGCCCTTCTTTAATTTTATGTCCTTTCCACAGGAAAAAGAATAGGAGAAAAACTTTTCACATTTTGAAGCCTAGACAGAACAAACTGAAAAATCTAAAATGAATGCATATTCAAGTTTAAAGGAAACACAAAGTTTCAAGCATTCTCGTTGTCTGTTCCCATCTCCCACTTTACTTCTTCCGTTAGATATTTGTCTAGCCTGGTTTTTTTTGGGGGAAAAAAAAGGAACAAAAAAAAAAAAAAAACCCAACCCCCCCAAAAAACCCTAGTGTTGAAGATTCTAGATTCTACCCAACCATCTTTCTTGATGTACTTAAACCTGTTATATCTTGTCTTAGTACCCCACCTCCCCATGCATTGAAAAAAAATAAATTCCTTCTTCTTTGCAACAGTGTTTGTATCTGAACACTACTATGATATTTTTTTCATCATATTTCTGACTGTAAACAACTCAGCTGTAGAACCTGTTTTCTGGAACCCCGGATTCACTGTCTGAAGTGCTCTGGGCATCATGCGTACCTTTAGTAGTGTTCACCAGAGCTTTTGTCATTTCCAGACAAGGAACAAACTGTATTCCTTTTCAAATGGATGAATGTCTCTAGAGTATTAATACAACCCTGTTAAACCTTCTTAAAATAACGGCCATTACTAATGATAATAATTACAATACTGACAATATTTTCTGGAATGCTTTGTAAACCATGTGTCTATTCTTTCACAGAGCTGCTGATTCTGTTGGAGAAATGATTCCTGCTTTCCTTGGTTCTCTTTCACACTCTGCCTGTGGAGACATTCCAGATGCTTGGCCTCTTATGCAAAACTCAGCTTGTTGTGACAGTATTTCTATCTGTGAATCATATTCAGAACTGGCTGGAGGATCTGCAAAATCCTGCAGCCCTGAGACTGAAAATGCAGCCACTGTTGAGTTGGATAATAACCAGGAAATAAGTGAAGTACTTATTTCAGCTAAGTCTCTTGATGGAAATGTTGCAAAGTCCTTTGAAATCTCCAAACACAGCACATGCATAGAAGTTTCATCACTTCAGAACTTGGTGACTGCTGAAACCCAGCCAAAGACAAAGTGTAATGGAACAACAAATGACTCTACAGATTGATAAAGAGGTAAAAAACATAACTACAAAGGAGTGAGAATGAGTGCTCCAGGCATGTAGAGCTAGATAAAAATAGAATTGTAAAAAGTTGTGGGGTTATATTTCTCCATAGATTACACCTAGCTATTGCTGATATAATTTAAGCCTCTACAAGAGATCCGGCATTTTAAAATTGTTAACTGAATTTGAAAGGTGTAATTATGCAAACTCTACTGTTGAAATAATATGAACCGGAATACAGGGGTAAATCAGTAAACCACTCAGCTTTTATCAGGGGATTTTTTCATTAAATTTCAGGGGGGAAAATGAGTTTAATAGCCATATGACCAAACTGTTATGTGAGTCTAGTCTTCGTTTATGAGGGACAGCTGAGGAATTGTCTTTGCTTGTTGTAAACAAAGCATAAAAGACATGCAAGTGTTCATCTAAAAATATTTACAAAGCCTTTCTGTGGAGTCACTACAGCGGGATTAGAAACAGAAGAGAATTTCAAATGCTTTTTAATGCCATTCATATTCACATGTCACCAGATGAAATATAAGTTTGTCCATAAAATACAATTTAGTCAATGAAAGCTCAGAGAAAATGCAGGTCTGAGGTCAAAATGAGAAGAGGTGATAAAAGAATTGTCGCTACTATGTAACAATGGAACCGTCACAAAAAGTCACTCTGCTACTCGTTCATCATTATATCTTTCTGAATATTAGCTGTGCTCTGTATTTTTAAAATGGAATTTTCTACTATTGTAAGTAAATTGGAACATCAAGTAACTAATCTGTGAAAGGATCCCAAATTATGGTATGTTGTTACTCCAGGGTTATGCAGGCTGTGGCTGGAAAGCTGAAATGCCTTCCTGTGTATGTACACAGAGACAGGAACACAAGCAATTGCCATTAATATTAATAATCCACCAAAGTTAATTAAGAAAATGATGCTATCTGTAATTATGAAAACTTTGGGTCATCTGCAGAAATAAAACTGCGTTCCTTTGATCCTCTTCCATTTCGTTTGCCTGCCACTTTCTTATTGTTCCTAAACATGAAGTAGAAAGTAATTAGTATTTAGCAAAAAATATGCATATTCTGAAGACATGCAAGAGCAATAGTTATTTCTTTGTAAATCACGCCTTAATTGTTTAGGTAACATTGTCAAGAGAAGGAAGGAAGTGAACAGACTGCTAAGTCAAGAACTGTTTTGCCATTAACTTCAAAGGACCTTGTATGTCACCCTGAAAATCTACTGCTGTCACTGAAAATATCAACCTTATCTGGGTTGCACATATTTTTCCCAATGTATTATTTACAATATATAGTTTTGTCTGTAACAATGCTTGGCACTGACTGCCCCTGTCTTAGATAGCAATTATCTTAGTTTTATTTTGGTATATGTCAAATATCATTAGGTGATATATATAGGTCATATTCTGTAGGTATGTGTAGGAAGGGACAGTGTCATGGCTCCGACTGCAGATCTTGATGCTGCTAGTTCCCAGGTCTCGTGGTCTCTCAAGGGACTATATTTCCATACTAACAGGATTTAAAAAATCAAAACTTTGTGGGTGTTTTCCCACTAAACCACGTATCAGCTTCAGAGGTGTGCAATTAATATTATATAAGAGTTTTTCTAGATGAAAGGAACCATGGAATTTCAAAATATTACTATAAAAATTAGCTTATATTTCGCCATAGTTGTTATAGTGTATGAATTGTAAATTTTACTATCAATTCCTATGTGTATGGAGACATCTTTTCTAGCATCCCAAAATCCTGTATTCTTTGATGGTTTTGTACTATCCTGTATTACTACTGAGATTTGTGTATAATCTTGAATAATCAAGGTCTTCAGGAGGGTTAAGTTTTTCTTCATTTTTATTCTTTCGTAGCCCTTGCTGATTCATTTTGTACAATTTCTCCATATTCGGACTCTGTGGTGGATCATTATCTAGGCATTTTTGGTGGAGAAATTTAAGTAGCGTTTGAGGGACAGAACCAGGACTTAGGCTTACCTGAGATGTATTTTCAGGCTTAATGGTAGCCAGCTGCACCATTTTTTCCCATTTGCCTTCCATCTTTCATGTCTTGAAATATTTTGAGGGAAGGATGGTCTTTTTGGTGCCTGTGGATGCACTAGAGTCTTGCATAGGTCCATACTTTATTATTATATTGCAAAAGCAATAATAAAAGGATAAAATCAGAATATAGCATATTTTTATATAAATACATGCAAATATAAGCTTTTTAATAGGTATTTTAATACAGATTTAGTCTTTGGGTTTATGTGAATTTTACAGCAAGCAAATTTTACAGCAAGTATACCTCTACTTTTTAGTGTTTAGTCAAACATAGAAGTACATACTGGTTTTTTACTAATTTATGTAACCACTCTTTATCACTTTCTTTTAGGAACTCAAGCTTTTTCTCTCAGAACTAAAGCTGAATGCTTCCCTTATGCTCCTCTGCTGATTTTCATCAAACATAGTCTGGTCTTCAGTGTTGCATGCTTTCAAAACCAGCTGGAAAAAAAATGGCATCACTTCACACCTTCTGAGCAGTTGTATTGGAGGTGTAATAGCTGTAAAGTGAAACTTCAAAGAGCATCCCAGGAGAACCCTCAAAGTGGATTTATGACCTTTTGCATCTCTTCTTTTCCCTCAGATTCTCAAAACATGTAGTGGAGTGAGCTTACTAGTGTATGTAAATACAGCAAAAAATATAAATACTTGAGTGTGATTAGGTGGGTCTCTTAAATATGGCTACATATGTCAGAAGGTGTGGGACAAGATGTTGCCAGTTATTCTGCTTGCAGATTTATGCATGCATTAAAATTCTTTTCTCTGCTGGTTCTAATTTTAAATCATTTTCCTGCTATTGAAGGACGTAAAAAATAAACATTTCGATTTATGCAAGGATCATCTATTGATAAACTGAAGCTTTTATTATATATTACATTATAGTCAATAAGCTAGTTTGGGGAGTTAAAGAATTAGCGTGTTACGGTATGTACGGTTAAAGTCCCCTTCATCCAGTTATTACATTTATGGGAGGTCACATTGTTCTGTTAAATATAGCAGGAGATTATCTTTAAATTAGTTTTAGTTTAATGAAGGTCAGACATATAGATAGGGATGCTGTGTTTAATTGGTAGTCTCAGTATTTGAATACAGCACTTGTTGTTATAGCACGTAATTTTTGGATGTTGAAATAAATGTAATCAACTGTCACATCAAAATTTCCAACTATAGCAGGTGTGCCATGGAAGTATTAATACAGTGAGACTGTTAATAAGATTTTTTTATTAATGCATTCTTTTTAAAGGTCGAGCTTCATGGTGACCTAATTCGTTCATTTAAGGAGTCCTTGTTTCATTCATGGCACTCTGTCCTTCTCACTGTAGTGTTGTGTCAATTCAAATTTTACACACTAAATATAAAACCTGATTCATAACTTTTTTTAAAAAATACCTCTGAATTAAATCCTCGAAGTTGTGTGTATGCCTAGTAAATTATCAACTCTCTGCAGTCAGTGCTGTAATTCTAAGATTTTTTTAACAGCTATTTGTCATACCACATCCCATAATACCATTTTTTGCAGCCATTTTTATCCTTAGGATAATTTTTGCTTCTGTGGGTAATCCCAGTAACCTCTACTGATTCATTACATTCAACAGGCTCAAACTTGCCAGTGATGAACTCTAGCAATTATTCCTTTCAAATACCCAGTGTGCCTTGACAAAAGTAAAGCAATCAGCAAAACAGATGCAAATTTGCAATTAATATTACTCATCTTTCCACACATGGTTTGTGTGGCAATGGAAATGTTGAGACAGTATTCATAATCCATTATGGAGAAAGACTTTTGCTTTGAAGCACACAGTAGAAGGTTGGACCTGCACAGGGATAGCTAAAGCCAGTACAGGCAGCCATGGCAGGGAGATGCTTCAGCTCTTCACCCGTGAGATTATTCATGTTTGCAAAAGTCATGAATAACAGTTATCAAGTGCAAACCAAAGTAAGTGAAGAAGTTACATGATTTTTTTTGTTGTTGTTTGGTTTGGTTTTCTAAGTAGTGAATACCATCATTTGGTCACCGATGGAATAATGTGCAGTTATACAGTACTCAGCTAATTACTTTCAAGTATATATTTTAATACAAGTAGTTTTGAATAATTTCTTCGTAGACTTTCATACATTAAAGAAACTACAAAATATTATTTTTCACTACATGTGCATGAAGAGATGTGTGCTTCTTTGTATATACTTTGTAAATAAAAAAAAAATCCAACATGCATTTCAGTATATGGCAAAATATTTTTAGAACATATGGAGATTTCACCTTTCACTAATAACAGTTCTTTAAAAAGCTATGTTCAAAAGTTTTGCCAGCATCTGCCACAGTATGTTTTCCCATTGGAATTTAAACTTTGTGTAATTGCTTTTGTCCAGCAACTCTAGAGGAAGATACTCGTTTTTTTTAAATGAGTAACAGATAGCATGAGAGCAAATTGGGAGGAAAAAAATTAAGAGAGTCTTTTTAAATATATGTGTATATTATGTATATACTTTTTTCCTTAATTTAACCAAATTGGTCTTTTGTATATTGCCTGTGGCAAGCAATGTTGTACATGCCAATAGAAAACATACACTATCACTGCATTTAGACTGCCCACATATCACATCTAGGGACTTACAGTGCTGTTTTAAATACTCCTTTAACAAATGTAAATTAAAATCTTGTATAAATTGTTTTGTAATACTTTTTCTACTTGTGAATAAAATGTTACATGAACCAGTCTTGGTCTGTTAATCTCAAATTAATAATAGCATTTTATGCAAAGCTAGTGATCATTTCTTTTATTGTTTTTAGAATTCCATAATGGTGTAATTGTATTAAAGTTATGGTAGAATTTGGTACATCTTTGTTTTGAGGTCCTTGCTGTTTAAGGGTAGGATCATTCTTCAAGCTGGAGGACCGTAAGCACCACAGATTGCTGTCTGTATAATGTCTTTGAAAACAGAACCCAGTGCTCATGCAGCAGGCTGTTTCAATAATGAGAGTAGCTGTATTTTTGAAACAGGAAAGGAATCATGGCCCCTGATCAGTACCAACAGAGCCAGCATTTGTGTTGCACTGCAGCTGCAGCCAAGAGGGGTTTCAAACCTTGGCTGAAGTAAGAGTGAATTAGAGAAAACTGATACAGAAGACTAATTACCTGTGATTATTAGGCCATTTTTCAAACACTGTCCAGAAGGTTTACATGAAAAGATTCAGGACAATGTTACTCAAATGGTTTACTGTACAATTTAAATGATTAAGAAAGGGATGGCATCGTCTGACTGACAAGAATAGAAGACTGAGAAGAAAGAATAATTCGATAATTGCATATAATTACATGACTTCTGGGAACTGAATCCAGACCAAGATGATAGGTAACATAAAACAAGGGTGGTTGTGCTGGAGTGTAGTAGCACTCTTGGTTTTGGGGGGAAAGTTTGGGGAAAACTGAAAGCTGCTCTGTCCTGTTGCTAGTTTAGCAAATTTCACATTGCTGCTTCTCTGTGTATTGCTGTTATTTTTACAGTCTTTTAAGTACGTAATTCAGAGCTTAACTGGGGATCACCTTCCCAAAACAGCAAGGACTCCTTATATCCTGGTGCCATGTGCTGCACTCCTGAGTAGTCTTCTATTTGTTTTCTGCTGTGATTGTCAAAAATGGCAGCAGTCCCCATCTCCAGCCCACCTCATCATCCTTTTGGTTCACCTGAAGTCTTGCAAGTCAGCAGAGCAGCACATGTCATGTTTGGGAGTTTACTTTGTGTCAATACAAGTAGCTTCATGACTCTCAGCACTGCTAGGATGGCAATGGAGTGCCCTGACAAAAATTTAAAAAAAAAAAAAATAGGAATTGATAAACAAGTATTTATTCTATTTTATCTGGAAACAAAGTACAGCTCAAAACACATTACATATATGACCACATAAGTTGCACAGACATTCGCTCATATCAGCTACTATAGAAATGCAATTTTCTAGCGAAGGAACTTTCTGAAAGGTCTACAAAAAAAACCTGGAACACCCATCCCAAAATCTTTTCCCTGCTCGCATTGTTATTAAGTACAACAGTGTTTCCTGCCTTTTCTACAGAGTAGAGCAAGCTCTTAATCCAGTGCTCCTCATCCTACCAGGAGTTTGAGATCACGTGGCTTTTCCCTTTGTTGTGGGCTCTTTGAGGGCCTTTGGTTTGCATTCCTATGAAGTCCCTCCAAGCAACAACGTTCATGCATTAAATTAATCCTCTCCCTGACTTTGGTGATGGAGGTTTAGATCGCTACCTGCAGCACATTCCAGCACAGACACTGCTGCTTTGTTTGGCCCTTTTAAAGAAGGAGTACTGAAGGAGTGTGCAGTGTTTTATCAGGCATGGAGCAAGCTGAGGCTGGGCACTGCGGAGCAAAGCCACACAATGCACACTTTGTGCTGGCAGGGTGCAATTTAATCCATATTTAGTTTTGGCATGAGTGATGGTAAAACCCACTTGCTTTTCACATTACATGAGCCATTTTGATTATGTCTGATAAAGGTGCTTTCAATAGGGTAAAAATAATAGTGGGTGGATTTGCTAGGGAGCCTGCTGCTTTCCACAACAGCAGTGAATGATGGGATTAGAGGAAATGTTTTCTAATAGCATACTGATAGAGAGAATGGCAGACTGGGGGCACACTGAGGCTTCTAGCAAGCACCACAGATTTAACCACAGGGTCAGCTCAGTAAGACAGTGGTTTTTCCCATCATTTGATTTTCTAAATCCTGATCACAGTTGAATTTTTTTAAAATTTTTTTTTTGCCTACCTGACGAAGGGAGATTTGGCTTGTTCAAAAGGTTATAAATGACATTTTTCTAAAGCATTGGTGGAAAAGTAGACAAAAAAAGAAGGCGGTTTTTAGAAAGTGCTTACCCCGAGCCTCAGTCTTTGTGGAGTTTCCCATTTCTTCTGCCCAGGTCCTAGTTTCAGTTTGGGGATGGACAATTCACATGCTATTTAGTATGCAAAAATTCCCCTTAGTATAGCAGCTAATATACCAAAAGCTAGTTTGTAACCAGCAGTTTAAGGGAGAGCACTGATTTAAAACTTGGAAAAAATTAAACCATCAGAATTCAAGAAATCTTGATTTGTCCCATATCTATATCAGACAGTTCATTGGAACATAATGATAAACATACAGAAATACAGAATGTGTATGTGTGCCTGCAGATATATTCTACATTAGAATAAAATAATAAACCAGTCCCCTTGCACATGACCTGAGGCAGGGCATTGTCCCGGTCAGTTGGTATTTTTATTCCCAAATTCTTAAACATAAGGAAATTACAGAACACTGTGGACCAATTCAGGCGAGACCTATACACTATACAAGCATTTGTTCTGCATGTGGCAGAGTTTACAAAATGAATTGAGAACTTTTTAGAAAATATCAAATGCTCTGTTTCAATTTTTTAAAATACCTTTCAGCCCAGGAATCCAAGTGCCCTAAACATTTCATAGGTTCACATATAGAGCCTCAGAAAAAGAAAAATTACTACAAAGACCTACAGCCCTTATGCTATGGTTCCCTTCCAGGATTTTTAGAGCTGCAATTTCTTGCTCTTCAATAGCACCATACTGGAATATTCACTGAGCGAATGCAGCTTCTCCACCGGGAGAAGTGCATGCATGTCTGTAAAAGGGATGTTTAAGAGAACAATATTGAACAAAACAGGAACAAGAGAAAAAAATAAGAAAATAAGAATAATGAGAAAAGTATATCTAGCTTTTAGTGCAACAAAAAAAAGAGCAAAAAAGGCCCATTACATTGCCAAAGTAAAGCTCTAGTTTACAGGCACCTTACTTCTCTAACTTCATGTTCACTTAAACACACATCAACTCTGCACCTGTCCAAAGCCAAAACAGGAAGATCTGGAATCAGCAGAGTAACAGAGTTTACTGCACCAATTTTGTCCATATGTTGCCTATTGCTTTCTTGTATATTTATGTTTATTCCTGCAACATATGGTAGCTGAGTTTAACCCGAGGAAATTCAACAGCAATGCCCATTTGTTTGGCCATTTGTTGACTCTCTGTTGCAAGAGAAAAGAGAAAGTTTTTTTACCATCCTGGTATTGTTTTATGTTGTTAGATACAACAATAGTTGTGTCCCTTTATCATAGCTTCAGCTTTATTAAACCTTATTCCTGAGGATGTTCAACAATTAAAGTTAAGGGGACACTGCACTTGTGCAAAAATGAGAATTTCTTTCTGACTGAGATACTAAAACACAACCATAATATTCCAGCAAATAACACTTGCAGTACCTTTTGTCAAAATTCATCACAGTTTTTTGATATTTTGAGACTAAAAAGAGTCAAAAATCCTTGACTGGAAAAATTTACAT